TGCATGTTGCCATCCATTATATGTGACTTTCATTGTGTGTGACACTTCCCTGTTTTTATCACTGCTGTGTCTTGTGTTTCCCTGCTGCACAGAGCATGCTGCCAGGCACTGGAACTCTATTATTTCTTGGGAAAAAATGCCTTGGGCTAGTGTTCAAAGGCTGCGTGGGGCATGTCAACTTAAATACCTTCAGTAGAGACATACCGTGGCCTCTTTTATCAGGTGTCTCACTAGCTGAGCTATGAAGCTCAGCTCTATTCTAAACCATAAAATCAAATCCTGCCTTTATGACTGTTATATTCACTTCTTCCCCTAAAAGGATTTATTCCCTGTTTGAAAATATTTTTCCATATTCACCGATATGGGGCTCATCATGGGGTCTGAATTGAAAAACATCTCATTTACTTTGCTAAAATGTGTCACATTAACAAGGTGCCATGTAGTAAACAAAGTATGCACAAGATACTCAGTCATACTCACAATAACCAAGCATCCTTAAAACCTGTTGCAAGAGAAACTATTTCAAACTAACTCCATTTCTTCTGGTAGCTTCTAATTGTGTCTCACAGTGGAAAATCTGTAGCTCCCTCAGTGCGACCTGGAAGTTATCCGGAGCTTATTACAGTAAGCATGTTTGTGGACAGAACATTTGAGGATTTGATGTGGCTTTTGCTGTATTTCTTTAAATAAAGCAACCTAGGAAGGTGGATCCTTTAATGCATAAGACTAAATCCTGCCTCAAAAACTGAAGCGGTGAATGGCGGATTTGAACCGTCGCAAAAATACAGACCTGACCCCCTTTGACCCCACAGGAAGGAAGAGGAGTTGTTCATGTAGACACAGATCCAGAGGGAGTCAGAGCATTTGCTTGTCTGCTTCAAGCTGGTGTATATACCTGCTCTGAAAATCCAAGCTGTTACACTTGATTGTATTCATGATCTAGATGGGCATTTAAGTGCAGTCAGGAAAAAGGATGCTCTCTAACTGCAAGATGATAAAAAGAAATGGGATTCTCACAGCGAGATTCACTTCCTAGGTGGCATCCTCAAAACCAAAGCTTTGTCATTTTAAAAGAATCCAAGAAGCTCCAGTGCGCCACAGATCCAAGCCAAAGTGGACAGGAGGGTACTTCCTCAATTTTCTGTCTATGTGGTGAGTGGTGGAAAAAGATTACTAAAGTAAAAGTTGGTTAAAAAAAAGTGCAAAAATACTCTGCTACAAGTCCTGCATTCAAATTCTTAGTTAAGTAAAAGTACATTATCAATACATAAAGTACTAAAAGTACTCATTATGCAGAATGGCAGATTTAATATTAATGTATATCGCATTATTGGAAATTCATTTATTGTGTACTTCAAATAGCTTATATGGTTTTGATTTGAATTACTGCTGGGTAGCTTGCCAGTTTATCACTGGAGACCAATACAGTCTAATGATTATACTGCTTTTATTTTTATTAATCTGAGTGTGAAAAGTAACTCGAGTTATCAAGTCAATGTAGTGGAGTAAAATGTACAATTTTTGTCTCAATGTAGTGAAGTTAAAAAAAGAAAAGAAAATACTCATGTAAATTTCAAATACCTCAAAACTGTACCTAAGTACTGTACTTTAGTAAATGTACATAGTTACTTTCCACCACTGTATAAGTGGTCAGCTTGCAGGCAACTGTGGTTAAGCCCCTGTCCTAGAAAATAGAAGCACAAAATGTTTTCTGCTTCACAAATTTGACATTAGACAATATCATACAAGAAACTTCTCTCACAAAAAAAATCACTCAAAGAACACAGTGTAATCCAGGACATGGAGTTTATTTTACAACTTAAGATAAGAGAAGGGAATTCTTAATATCTGGGCTGATGATAAAACCTGGAAATGTATCAATGTGTGAGAATTTCTTTTTTCAAAGATATGTACAGTACCATGCATCAGAGCAGATGCCAGTAAAGTTCTGTTATTTTATGTAAACCACACTGAAGGACCTAATTTTCACTCAAAAAGTGCATTGTGTTCCAACTATATTCTGTAGCTTTATACATTTTTTCCCCATTTGTCTAGAAAATAACATTATAAAATGCACACAGTACAAATAATATTGAACTTTAAAGAGCAAGATATGCTGACACATATGTATACATACTTGCTGATTATTCATACACTAAGTTTTAAACTTCATAAATTTTACAATTGTAGCTTCATAATAATAAAATGGGTAGCCTACTAATGAAATACTGTACAAGTTGAAACAACCAGGAAATTATACTTTACTAGAGAAAAACATTCTAAACATTTTGCATGAATTTCTGTGATTTAATGGCAAACAAACAGTTATAGTTAGTCCATCAAAATTCCATGTTGATCAGTGGAATTACAACTGAAAAGAGTGAAGTGTTGTCATTTCCCCTAAACATTTTTTTCATCAGTTTACACTTCCTTAAAGTGCTGAACTCATCTTAACATTTTAGAGCATCATCATAGCTGAACTTCTTCATATAAAAGGTTGAATCCAAAATTTGTCAAACAGGGATATCGGTTATGTCATTGTGTTTTAAATGTCATAATGCTCACTGCTTTACATGAAAACATGCACAAACTGTTTCATAAATTAGATTTAAGTTGTGTTGAAATATGTTTGTCTGAAAAATCATCCAAAATCAGTGATCAAAATAAGAGCAAGGTCCAGTTTTAATACAACACCTGGACTTTTTCCCAGAGGCTCAGATAGGATACAGTGCATTAGGAAAGCAACCATCAGTCGGTGACCACATAGTGCCATGACTGCTGCACCAATTTGGTTCATTTACTGAATCAACCTTTACAACATAGCTTTGAGCCCGTGAAGTGTAAGCCCCTGCCATTTATGAATAACTGAATAATTACAGTATGTGGTATTAAAGCTACCATGTTTTTAATTACAATATATGTCACAACAATTCTGGCACTATCTGTTATGACAGATTGCAAGTTAGAGTTATAGTGCAACAGTAATCTGTCTTGCTATCAGCTTTACTTGATTTCACTGTTTGTCAAACTTTTCCAACTCTGTCACAAAAATGAAATGGTCCTCTGGTGACTTTCCATGTGCTTTGCAAAGGTGCAATTTGATTGCATGTTTGCTCACAAATGTCCGATTGCACAGTTGGCACTGATATATCAAGTCGGTGTCGTCTTCTGTGAGCACAGAGGAACTGAAAGTCTTGTCCTCTATTCTGCTGACTGCTTGTTGCTCTGTTAAGTCTATGGATAGTTTTGAGAGGTCCTTCAGGGTAAATCCAAGATGTGACTCCAAATGGTGAATGTAGGATGAGGGAGTCCTGAACTGGGATGCACAATCACTGCACAAAAACAGAGGCTGGCCAGAGTCAATATTTTTTAGGAACTTTGTGCCCCCTGTCCGCTTTAACTGGTATTTTACATTGGCCAGCCAATGTGAGATAGTTGTCATGGAGAGACCAGTGAATCTACAGATGTGGACCCGTTCCTGTGGTCCCAAGTCATTAATTACAAACTTTCCCTCAGGAGTCTCCCTAAGGCTGGAGGCAAACTGGGCCTGGAGAATCAACAGGTGCTGGGGATTCCAGTTTGACTGTCGGCCTTTCCGCCTTTGGATGGGAGACAGCTCCTCCAAGCTGTCCTCAATTGTACAGCCATCGATGTCTGATTTTTCAGAGATGGAAGATGGTGTTGTAGACTTTGGTGTCAAACGGCCAGTCAGATTTTTCACCATATCAGAAATATCCATCAAAGCATTCTCCCGTAGAGGTGGAGATGAAGACTGAGAGAACGTTTTGAAAACTGGGTTGTTGTTGTTGTTTGGTGTAGTAGAAATAGCCTTAGCTGTATTTCCATTAGTGTTTTTGGATTTTGTCAAGTCTATGGGCTGATCGTCTTCCCCTTCCTGGTACTGACTCATAGGCTCTGCTGACTTGATCTGAGCAGAGTTGCTGTTGATCTTATAAAGCATCGTGAAGGGGTCTATGAAGGGGGTTGCCACTTTTGCAGCTTTCCCCAAGTGGTTGTTCATGATAGACTGCAAAGCACTGAGAGGGTTGACAAGTGGTTGTTCAGGTGAGTGATCAGTGATGATGCTCAGGTTGTGGCAGCCATTGCTTACAAGCTTTTTTGGTGAATCAACTTCACTCTTAATCTGTGTCTCCACTTTGGGCTTTGTCTGTTCTTCCTCTTTGCTTCTTGACTCAGTCTGGTCCTCTACCCCAGTATTTTTCACTGCCTTTGAGAGGTTTTCTGGATTGGATAAAGCCTGTTTGTCCTTAGAATTTGGCAAAGGTGACTTTTCAAACCTGCGCTTATTCTCTACAAGTTTTTCCTCTTTTTCACTGTTGACTGAACTTTTTCCTGTCACTTTTTCCACTAGCTCCTCCATAGCCAGCACATTATTCTTGTGACTTGGAGGTGAACAGGGGCTATTAGGTGAATGGACCACAGCACCTAAATCAGAGGACAGCACCTTCAAGGTGTTGCTGCTGAACAAAGGTTGAACCTGTGCACATGAAGGCAAGGTAGACTTCAAGGCTCCATGCAGCTGATAGGCAGCATGAATACTGGGGTATCCACCCCAGGTTGGTGTGCCTGTTTGGGCCTTGCTGATGGCACTTGAAACTGTGTTCTCTAAAGACTTCAGGATGTCTAAACCACCTTTAGGTGTCTCTTCCAAATCTTCTTCTCTCAGATATTGGTAAGATCTGGCCTTTCCTGGTTTATCAGCTTTTTCAGGGGGATCTTCCTTCTCCTCTTTTATTTTCTTCTCCAGTTCCCTAGCTGCCATTTTCTCATCATCTCTCTCTTCATCTTTGTTTTCTTCAGCTTTCTCCTCAGGGCTAGCAGGCTGCAACAGAGAGTCAGGCTGTGACTTCCCATTAGCTGCTGGGAGTCGTGTGGCAGTTGGCGGCAGAGGAATCGACTGAATTTTCTCCTCAATGACAGGATCAAAAACTAACTGCTTACCCTTTTTAGAGGCTGAATTGGTTACTTTGAGAAAGTGTCCCGTGACCATCATGTGGGCTGTCAGCTGTTGCAATGTGTCATGTGAACTGCCACATTCCATGCATTTGAGAATTTGTGCCTTGCGTGCCTCAAACTGCCAAGTATAGCTGGCACCATTTTGGTAACCATATCGATTGTTAGGAGTGACATAGGGATTGGCCACTTTTTGGTCTTTGGGAGATTCTCCCAGGAGTATGCCAGATGACACAGACTCCGGAGAGCTTGGGGACATCAAATCTTGAAATGCTCTTTTTTTGGTTGGGGGTACCAGCTTTGAGGTGAGAGCTGGCATTGGTTCTTTTAGAGGCACTTTCTGATAGTGTTTTGTTTTGATCATGTGAACACTAAGGTCTTGTAAGGATTCAAAAGAGTGGCCACAGTACATGCATTTCAAAACTTTCTGGGCATCTTCCTTCCCTTCCATCTCCAGCAGTGAACGCTTGCGTGGCTTGGACCACTTCTTGCTTCGATCATCTTCAGTATCCTTATTGTCATCTCGATAGTGGCCAGTCTCATTCATATGCACTGTCAGGCCAACCAAAGTGTCATAGGCTGCACTACAGTCCTTGCACCTGAACTTGCTGGCACCAGTAAACACAGGGCCATAGAGCTTATTGTTTTGCCTATAAAGCTGCACGGTGCTGAAAAGGCTAGGCTCAGGAAGCAGTTGGTATGGAGTATGCTGTAGAGTTTTGGCCAACGCTGCCTGGTGCCAGTCATAGGCTAATCCTCCTGTGTTGCCAGAACCTACACTAGTGCCACTGTTGCTGCTGCTGGACACTGTTCTTGTGGCGGTACTGCTGGTATTAATATTAGTAGTGGCTGAAGTGTTGCTACTGCTACATCTATTCCTCACATGAATGTTTGCTGGGCTGTGACTGTTCAAGAACCCGCTGTTCCCTATGTGATTACTCCCATTGCCGTTTCTAGCTGCAAAATTGTTGCTTTGTTTACTTTTAAGCATGTCCAGAGCGATGCTGGACCAGGAGGCATCCGAGATCAGGTTTGCATAGACAGCTTTCATTTTTGCCAGACTGTCCTGTAGTGAGAGGCCATTGATGGACTCTGTGGACTCCCCTAGCTTCTCCTCTGCCTTATCTTGACCATCACTAAAAGATGATATGAGCTTAAGGTCCACCAGTTGATCACTAGTGGTGCTGAGTGGAGAGGCGTACCCAGCATCTGGGTTCGTGCCATTGCTGAGTGGAGAGTTTTGGCAGCTATTGCCATCTCCTCTGTCCTCGTCATCATTGAACAGATAGTCTGCATCTTGGCCATCCATAGAGAGGCCATCATCCAGCAGATGCTCCTCCTCATCAGTGTTGTCTGCTTTAAATTTGTCCTCAGGTCCATAAGCTGGAAAACAAAACAGAGGGATATGTTGTCATTAGACATTTTTTTAAAATGTTTTTTGTCTATTAGAATGATATGGATTATGTTATATGAGCATTATGACCTAACAGCCTTACTATATGAAGATGTTATGTGCAATAATCTTAAGGAGACTTTCACCAATTGTCCCAAAAAGATGACAACGTCACAAACACTTATATCTTGACAATGACAATGCACTACCTAATGAAGCTACAGGACTTGATCTATTGATCATGTGGTGAGAGCTGTTACTTCACAACAGAAATGAAGACATTTTTGCCTGATCACAGGAAAAGGGAAAGTATGCCTCATTGATCAATCTGTTACACACGTTTCTTTCTTAGCATATACCGAGTGGTAACAATGAACTAATGCGATTATTTTACTGCATATGTGGAAGCATTTAATCAATTAGCCAATTTTAAAGCCAAAACAGCATAGAGTTTGTAAGTATATCATTATTAATTTTGCTGCTGGAGTGAGACTGTTCTTGACTTTGATTTGCTTTATTTTTTCAACATGCCTCTATAGTACTATGGATTCACATGTAAGAGATAGAGGAGGAAAATGCCAGCTGCATCAGCCTTGCCAAGCCATGGTTGGCAGGAGTCAACTTGGCATCAGCTGTGGAAGTCCTCACAGCGTGATGCTGGGAAACGGCCAGTGGACATGACAAGCCATGTTGTTACTGCCTGTGCTCCGTGAGTACTCACAGCGTCAAGTGGGCCATTTTAAAAGAAGAGAGGGAGGTTTATAATATCAATGGAAAATGGCTGCTTTTTTTCTTTATGCAACTGTCTACAAATTTCACAAATTATTTGTTGCCCGAACACTAAAATATGAATTAAAATTATTTTAAATTCCAGTTGTCAAAGCTTAAAACATGAAAGAAATTACAATGTATTTGTGATATTGTTGGAGGCCAACACCTACAAAAGCAAAAAGGAAAGGTTTAACATGATCCTCGAAGCAGATTAAGAGGGAAATATTGCTGAGAAGCAGGAAAAAATAGAGGGTTAAATATGCTAAGGCAGCTCCTACAATCCATCCCTTGTAAGATGCTTGTCTGAGGTGCCAGAATCAGTCTCCAGTGAGGAGGCAGATGTGCTGTCAGCTTCAAACAGCATGTAGCTCTCTATCCCATAATCGGAAGGGACATAATACCTGATGTTTGTGAGATGCCAGTTACTGCTGCCTGGGAAAAGCTGGAGGTCCAACAGCTGCATCTCTCAGTGATGTATGTGTGTAAATGTGTGAGTGTGTGTTTGTGTAAAAGAGTGAATGTACATGGCTCAGTACAACCTTCCTCTTCTTAATTAAACTGTGCTAGTTTTGCTCTTTACTGTAAACTCTTAATTATACACAGGCCACACTGATATCACTCACTTGAGCTAGTCACTAAATTAGGAGATTTTTATCCTTTTAGCAAAGCAGCCATAGCCATAGTTTGTTTCAACCCGTTTGGTCCACCCAATCGAGATTCAGCCCACTGTACTGAAATAAATGCAAAACTGAACCTATTCATAGTCAATATGGTGAGAACAGTTAAAGACAAAGCAGCTTAGCTGACAAAGTGAGAGAAACCTGACAGCAGTGCAAACACACACACAATTCACACTCAGAAAGCACGCCGACACTAAACTCTACCCATTCTTTGCCATTCTCTGTATGACAGGTGTCAGTGTCAAGAGTGTGTCAGTGTCAGCACGGGGTGTCAGTGGCCACACAAACAAGCCTGAGAAGAGGTGGAAGGGGAAGGTAACAACAACAAACAAGTCAGCCACCCCCCCCAGCTTGGGCCTCCTTCCTCACCATCTGTGTCAGAAAAGCTGCGGGTGCCACCGCCGGCTAATAAGGCAATCAGAGATGGAAAAGATGCTGACACGGCAGCTTTCGAGCGTCACTCAGAACAAAAGAGGAAGAGGCGAGGGAGGGAGAGGGGGATAGGGAGGGGATTAAAACGGAGGTGGAGGGGAGGAGCAGGGGAGAGGTGTCTGTTGTGGTTGTCAGTCAAAAACATAAGTCCACTTTGTGCTGTCAGGGAGGATAGGAGGAAAAAAGAGGGGAAGTTTTGAAAAGAGAAGAGAAAAGATGTGTTTAGGCCAACGAACAAGAGGTGTGTGCATGGGAGTCTGTGTGTGAGGACGCATATCTGACAGAAAATGCATGACAGGAAAACAAGTTCAACAGTTTCCAGCTAACTAAGCACGAGATATCAGGAGAGACACATCAGTGAAATTTTTACCGTGTGTGTGCAAGTTTTTAAGTGCGTATTATCTAGGTGTGGCTGATCGGTTTTGTGTGTGTCAGGTGCAAGCAGAGATGCAATGTGGCTGTTCAGGGGAAAGTGAAGCCATCTGTGTCTGCAGA